GCAGTACGGAGGACAGAGAGCGCCCGGTCACAGCAAACCCTAAAACAAACTGATCGATCAACACACAGCTCGGCAATCTGACTGCTCAATCAGCCACGGAGTGAATGCTTGTTTTAAAAAATCAATAAAAGCTAATACACTGTCTCTGTTCGGAGCGCGATCCAGCGGAGACGTTCGAGCTCAAACAGACAAAAACTCTGTTCAGTTCCGGAAAAGTGTTTTTATTTATGGTTCAGGGAAACAGTGGGGAATGTTTTCAGGGGTAATTACAGTAAATTACTAAAAGATGGACTTAGACTCTCCATTAAAAAACCCTTCATGTTTCAGCCCGAAAGCCCCAAAAACATGAATAATAAATGAACATATCAAAGTCCAACCGGTGCGTAACGACTAATGTGGATGTCGGAGCAGCTGGAACATTACTGAACTGCAAAATGTGACGTGTCTTCACATCCACGAGTAATATAATGAGTTCACAGTAACGTCACAGTGGACAGAATCAGAAAAATAAAGAGTGAACGACAGAAACGGTGCCAGGCGGCAGGAATATGAGATTCAGTGAGGTAGCTGTACTTTCTGTTTCTGCTGCTCGCTGATCGGTGACGACACAACGTCACCGTTTGAATTCTGGCTGCAGGATTTTGGCTCCTAATAGCCAGAGAGCAACACGGTATTCTTATTTTATGGTATTAAACTGGCAAAGAAGGAACTGCTTTCACCCAAAGAAGGCCAAAATGACCCGCTGCTCTCGTTAAATTGAAACCGTTTCATAACCAGTTAAAAAGTCCTTGTAGGTTTAAATATTGATGGAAAAACACTGGATTCCTTTAACTTGTTAAACATTTTAAAGTGTTCTGAATCTATAACCAAGATCACTGATATAGCAGCTGTTGATCGATTGCTGAATACTTTTTCAAATTACATCTTTTGTCCAATAAAATTAACAGAATTTGTCATAATTTTCTTCCAATGTCTGGTTTTGTGGGACTGACAGTCAATTAAACTTTCACCAGAGAGAAACAAAACTAAATCGAATCCTCACACTGAAGAGCAGGGAGTAGAAACTACCTGTAATCTTTGTTTGAGAACTGACTCAGAGGATTAGATTAGATTATTAGTAGTGTACGTTGTGTGTTCTCGTGAGGCTTTCAGATAACATCTATATATTGTTTGGATAAAAATAGCTAACATAGGCAGAGTGACTCACGGCTGAATGCTTTATGACTAACAGAAGCAAACAGGCCTCCGGCTGCAGGGCTGCTCGCTCGCTCACCGACTGATGCAGAAAACACAAATCAGAGAGTTTAAAGCAGGAAACTGATTATTTACTGGCTGCTGTCATTAAACCTGAGCGATGGAACAGAAGCAACATGTGTCGACACTTTATCAACAGAAATAAGAAAACAGTTTCACTTAAAGGCGTTAACTGCAAACCAACACGCCCTCCTGATAACTGATAACTAATACCTGATACCTGATACCTGATAACTGATAACTGATAACTGATAACTGAGCGCTGCTTAAAGTCTGTCCCACCTGTTATTCTGATATTCTGATTATGGACGTTTTACATTAAAGAAAAGCTACTAAATGTTTCAGTGGATCTGGAATTGATACGGACTAAAATTGAACATTTATTCTGTATAAGAATCAGCAGTGAGATGTGCTGTGAGCTCTTAAACAAATAACTTTATTAAGGAATATTTAAGTTAAATATACTTCAGAGAGATCTACATATACAAATAAAAACATTACAACCCTTCAATGTGAACAAACATTCATTAAAGTAAAATCTTTCTTTCTAAAAACCATCATTTAAAATCAGTGTCATATTCTTTTTTCCAGAACTTTTAACCACATCTGACTGGTCTTCCTCATTGGATGGAGTAATGGTACGGTCCGTAGTGGGGGGGGGGAAGCACCAAATAAATCCACTAAAACAATCGAAGCTTCTTTACGTGTTTACACACAAATACACCAGAGTTCACATCATTACTGTACTTCTCTATGAATGTCTCTAACCCACTGAGGAAGACGAGGCAGTTAGAAAACGTGTAAAAAGCAAGTAAGTGGCCTTTGAGCAAAGACTCTTTTGTGATATTAATGATATTATTATTATTATTATTATTATTATTAATGAAGACTTTACTTACTATAAATAATGGATTTGTATGTCAAACATAACTTTTCTCTACACTGTAAAACCTGACAACACGTCTCAAATAAATAATTAATTTAACATAATAATAATAATAATAATAATAATAATAATAATAATTTAATAATATAAATTAATCCTCCAAACAAACTGGAGTCACTAATTCACATTAATTAAAAATAAATAAAGCAACTCATTTGAGTTTGAGTGTATTTAATTATATAATTCCAGTTTCTTTAAGTTGACTTTAAATCATTACAAAAGTGTAAACATTATAATGCTGTGTAGTTTAGGATTTTTGCATTTTTGTTTTTATTTAATCATTTATTGATCATTATATAAGTTTTTATATAAATAATTCAAATAATTCCCCCAAAAGTGTAAAGATTTGATTTTAGTCACATTTATTTTTATATTAATTACAATTTTGATAATAAATGAATTATAAATATTTTTTCTAATACAGAAGATGCATTTAAGTGATTTAATTCAGATAAATTCTGTTCACACATTTTAAATAAGTTTGGAGAAACGCTGCATGTGAGCGTAAAATCAATTAACTGAATGGAATTAGTACAATTAACTTAATTAACCCAAAGTTACCTCACCAATGAATACTTGAGTTACTCCGATCTTACTTAAATTACTTAAACATTTGGGTTTAAATTGAACTGAGTCACCAGTAACTCCTCACTGGGATCAGGATGAACATCGAGGATGAGAGCTGGTTTTTAAATGGAGGAAAGCTGCATCATCATCATCATCATCATCATCATCAGCAGCAGCATCAGCAGCAGCAGCAGCAGCAGCAGCAGCATTGTGATGGAGGCTGATTCACGGTCTGAGGGAGGTGTAGTACTCCAGATTACAGCTGTCAGATGACGCAGGAGCCTTTTAATCCAGGAGGTAGCCCCGATACGAGCCGTTCAAGGTCCGCTCAAAAGTCTAGGAATTCCCTGCTTCCATTACTTAAAGGCAAACATACACTACTTAGGTTAAAAGGAACAGTCTGGATCATGATGTGACAATTTTGCTTGAAAAACTCTGCAACATTCATCACATTATTTCTGTCATGTTTAAGCTGATATCACTGATTTAGGAACCATTAATGAAAATGATAAAAGTTCCCATTTTATGGGAATGCATTGCTGTTTGGTGTATTTGACTCCAGCCGAACTGAGGACTATTGATTAAAGATTAATAAAAACCTCTTCGATCAAACTGTATTTTACAGTCTGACAGGAGGAATTTTAAAATGGTGATTTTGTGACTGGAGTTCGGCGGGCGGTTTGAACTCCGGCAGTCAGAGAGGTTAAAGGTGTTGGCTGCGGTATCTGAGGCTGTTTCTTCATTCAGCCCGCAAACACACCGGTAAAGTAACGAGGCCCGCACGGGACACGCACGTTTTCCGCTCATTAATAAACCAGTCAAGGACATGACATCGATACCTTCGAGCTAAACCCGCGTCAAGTTACCGGCAGACATTTAACGTGACACCGGAAGTACAGGCCGTGCGATTTCAAAATTAAAGCGCATTAAGTTCAAAATTACAATATTTAAGTTTTTTAATAAAAATAAACACTTAACACTTCATTGCTCAGTGTCATTTCAGCTTTAAAAGAACATCTCAGTAACAAGACAGTGGGTTAAAAACCTTCAACATATAAATCACTCACATCATTGATTTGTTTGCTTATTGATAAGATCATTATTATGTTTGATTTCTTTTAGTATTTATTGCCTTAGCAACATCATTATTCTGTGTATACAGTATAAACATGTGTGCTGTATATATGCACATAAATATTCATCCCAGCATCCTTTGCACTATTGTTTAACTGTCTCACACAAAAACAAGAAAGTGGCTTTAAAACAACAAACTAATCTGTTATCAATACATTTATAATCTAATCATTTAAATCATTTTTCTAAATCAATAACCTGCCATTATGGCTGATTTCATGTGGTATTGATTTCCTCTTTGTTCTCTTATTCCTATTATTATTATTATTATTATTATTATTATTCCTATTATTATTATTATTATTATTGATATTATTATTATTATTATTATTATTATTATTCCTATTATTATTATTATTGATATTATTATTATTATTATTATTATTATTATTATTCCTATTATTATTGTTATTATTATTATTATTATTCCTATTATTATTATTATTATTCCTATTATAATTGCTATAATAATAATAATTATTATTATTATTATTATTATTCCTATTATTATTATTATTATATTATTATTTCCTATTATTATTATTGATATTATTATTATTATTATTATTATTATTATTCCTATTATTATTATTATTATTATAATTACTTTTGTTATTATTTTGTTGTTGTTGTTTCCAACATTATTATCTTCATCACCATTACTGTTATTAAAAAATATATCAAGGATTTTACTTTATTACTTCTCTTATTATTATTATTATTATTATTGTTGTTGTTGTCCATCATCATCACATTTTACTTTGAAAGCGCTAAACGGAAGTTGTGTATTATCTGCGCTAACTTGCACAAAGTCAATATTATTAATTCTGGTTTTAATTGTGACTGAACAATGACTCTGTTTGCATTGTACAGCAGGAATAATAATAATAATAATAATAATAACAATAATAATAATAATAATAACAACAACAACAACTGTATAATAGTGAAGGACAGAGTTAGCTCACGCTAAGCTAACAGAGATGTACCATAACGTTACACTGCGCCGTTAGCTTTAGCCGTTAGCTCCCCCCTCCAGCGCCTCCATTCTCGGACACGCAGCCGCCCGCAGTGAACCCCTGCCGGGCTCCGGGTTTACCTTTCGCCTCGCAGTCCGCGCAGAACTTGTTGTCGTCCTCCCGCAGCAGTTTGGACAGGATGGCCTGGTGCTGCTCGTTCAGCTTCTGGGCTTTCTCCCGCTCCGACCGCGTCGTCATCTCGGCCAAGTTCTGAACAAGAGAGTCCGGTTCGTGTGATACAGCCACCGGGGAGTGCTCGGGGAGTGCTCGGGGAGCGTTACGGAGGGTGGGACATCCCCCGGTAGTAGCCGCCGTTAGCTCGCAACCTGCTAACAAGGTAAGAGATGGACCAGCATCATCCCTGCTGCCTTCACGGCCCGTCGGAATCCACAGCGGTTTGTCAGTGTAACGCTTGTTGCTCACACTCTCAGTCACTGTTAGTTAGAGTAACGGATTACATGTAACTAATAAATGTAATCAGGATACATCATCATGTATTTATATATTTATATATGGATGAATTTCAGCCTATATTATGTTAAAATATCTCACACAATAACAATAAAGTGACTAAAAACTCACCAGTTATCAATATATTTCTGACATAACCATTCAGATAATTGATGTTTTAATCAATAATCACTATTTCATGTGATATTTATTTCTTTACACCTTCTTCTTTGTGCTCTTCTTCTTTTTCTTCGAGCAGTAATTTCTCTGGTTTCTCTTCATGATCTCTTTTGACTTCCACGGAGAGAAAAAACAATAAATTCAACCTGTTTTTGGTAGAGTTTTGTGCCTTTGTGAGAACAAATAAATCAGTAACAAAGTGGATTTAGGTTTAAGTGAAGTTATCTTTAACTGACTCCCCTCAGAGAATGTCATTCTCTGCATTTAACCTCCATCTGAAGTACTAGGAGCAGTGGGAATCCACCGTGTGCTGCCCAGGGACCAACTCCAGATCTGAGCCAGTGGTACTCCACTCAGCGAGCCCACACCCACACCCACTGTCTCCTGTTCGGGAAGCGACCAGGAGACAGAGAAACTCCTGCACAGGGATCACCAGCAGTAGGGGGAGATGATGTGATCATGAATGTATGTAAATATTGTTCAGTATTAATCAGAAACAGGGTCCAACAGATGTGAAATGAGTCGATTTGATTGTTTTTTTAATGCTATTGAAACACTCACTTCTCCCTCTGTGGGAACACAACATTACTGTGGTATTATGAGCAGCCAGGGGGATGTGACTGGGAATGACTCCCCAGTCTAACACTTCAACTCATACTTACCTGGTAGGGGAGATACCGTGATCAAGAAGCTGGTTCACCCAGAGCGAGGCTCAAACGTTGCTGTGCTCCTCCGTATGGGTCCGAGTCTGTACGAAGAGCAACTTTATCTACAGAATCTACGACTCAACGTGGCATTTTTGGGATTTGATCCCCTCTCGTGGTCAAGTTGGTTAAAACTATAACAATGCAAGAAGTTGCTCCTCCTGGTGATCAAACTGTGAATGATGTTAGTTCAATTATCAAAACATAGAAATACTGAGCACACATACTCTTAATTTACATACCCTGCGGTGCTTTTCTCCTCTTGTACAGAGTTCATCTGGTTGGTGTCTGCTTGGGCAGTGAAACAGGTGCCTGCAGCTGGGGGATAGCTGCGGGGGGGTGCAGCAGCAGGTGGTTGATTCTCTGTTTTAGTTGTCTGCCAAAGATGAAGTGAGCTCATACTGCACCTGAGGTCGACCGGTGTGCGGTCTCTCATGTGGAAACTCAGCTGTTGGGGGTTGACTAGTGCTAGAAATACTCTGATGATGGCGGAAGACAGTTGGACCTTCATCCGACACATTCCTAGCTGACAGTCTAGCCTCCTGTCTCCATCTGTGACCGAAGCTGTGGCTCACTTCTGCAGCAATGGCCCAACCAGCTCAGCTTCCAAGAGTGGAACAGGAGGCAGGTTGACACTGGAGAACAGCATCAACCACCAGGAGAACCAGAACACCCAGCACACCTGCACCATGCCCTCTGCCCCGACCAGTTTCAGGCTTTTTGATGTGTTTTTTGGGAAGATTGTTCTGAAGGGTTGGATGGTATATATATATACAAATCTTAAGAGTTACTCCATTCCTTGAGCATCTGGTCCACAGTAGTCCCAATGCCCTTGACCAAGGCACTGGCTCAGATCTGTTTGTCCCTGGCTCACTGCTCCTTGTACTTGGGACTGAGGTCAAATGCAGAGAATGGACTTCTGAGAGGGACCAGTTACTTTAATACTGTGATACTTGGGTCAGGTTACTGACTACATTTTTTCAACAGGTAAAGTATTAATTGTATTAGATTACATTTTTAAAGTAACCCTCCCAACCCTGCACTACACCACTGTGTATAGAGAGGTAGGTTAAACACAAATTACATTTATAAATATGAACATTTGCTCCTGTTGGACAATTCGAGTGGGCGGAGGAGAGATAATGGTGCTATTGGTTATCAATAAACGGTATGAACTGCTTATGGATGAAAATGTGATGAAGATGATCGTCAAATACAGACGCTTTGGGTTGGTGGGTTAAAGCTTTGGGACCTGGGAATGAGACTCAACATTCAGTTATATTTCTCTGCTCTGATTGGTTGTTTTCATTCGGGCCCAGTGGATTCTTGTAAATGCCGTCAGGAGCACTCGGAGGAACCAGGGGAAGCAGATTCTTCCACAGATTATATGTGTGATTAACTGGTTGAAATAAAATAAAAACAGTAGCCTTTCAATTTTGGGTTGCATGAAAAATTGACTGTATCACCTTTAATGATGACAGACAGCAGGACCAACAGCAGAGAGACAGCTGTACAGTGTTAGACACAGACATGGCACAGGCAACGTAGCAACTAGTCCCAAAAAGGAAACAAATTAAATTACATTTCTAACAACAGGTTATCAGAACGACGGCAGAAGAATTCATTAAAAAATTGTATCAGAACAATAAAAAATTTGACACTGAGAGAAAGTGTTAAAATGAGACAATACAAAACAATTACAAATAATGTAAAATATATATAAAGTACAGAATTATATGTAATCACATGTGAGGGTACCAAACAAAATCTAGCCTTAAAACTCAGCTTTAGGTTAAGAAAGCAGTTGTTAGCTTAGAAAAGTCACCTGTTAAATCAGTAAGACAATTTCAAACATGTTAGATTACTTCCTCTTTAAACAGCTTCAACATACATGATCCAAAACTAAAGCAACATGCATTAAGTTCAACATACATGTTCCTTCATTCTCTTAGTGGTTTTCACTTTAAAATACACAGACTCATCACTACCAATGTTAAATAATAGATCAAATAAATATTACAACAGTTATCCATCAACAAAGCCCGCTGAAGTGTTTCAGACGGACACAAAACTGCTTCCAGCCATCACCCTCAGTTTAGTACATGACTGTGTGTCACCACTAGAGGGCAGCACAGGCTCATCCCACCTTTCTACTAAACCAGAAGAAATCTGGCACTTTCCTTCATGTCAAACAGTATAACATATGGCATGGAGCAAGTCTACTCTTACAGTTTTTATCCCTATCATCAAGGTAAAGCACCAGACACCACAATGACCAACATTCCCTTCAACACAATCACAGCTAATAATGTATCACACTGACTGAATTTAAATATGAGCTAATGTTTGTAATGTAAAAGTTTTGCCAATAAGAGAGGTAGAGGTTATGATGAAGAAGTCAGGGACTGTGACGTAGCTTGGGATGCACTGAACCACCACCTCAGGGTCTAAACTATTACATCATATATAACTTCCACTGGAGGTTAATATGATGCAAGAAAAAAGCACAAAATCAAAGGATGGATCCACAAATAAAGACTTACAGTATGATGTGAACTCATGAGTTTTGGTCCGGTATTTATGTGTAAACATTTGAAGAAGCTTTTTGTTTTTTAAGTGAAGTTCTTGTGGATTTGTTGGGGATTCCTTCGCACACTAACAGACTGTACCATAAATCAAATATCTGTTCTTTAATAAAAGGGAGACCGGAGTGTTTTTCATGATGTCAAACAAACAACTGTGTTTACAGTACAGTAAACTAATGCTCCATTAACTGTAATTATGTCCCATACTAACTGTATTAAACAGGATCCCATAAGCTCGTTAAAGCTGCAGTAGGTAAACTTTCACTGTATCCTGACTGTAGTACACGAGACAGATAATCAGTGAAGAAGTCAGAGACCAGAGAGATATTTGATTGTTGATTGTTGTCATCAAATACCAACGATTTGGGTCCCAAAGCTTCAGGCCACCAACCCAAAGCATCCGTATCTGACAACCTGGGAATGAGGTCACCTACTGCAGCTTTAAGGTCGGTGGACTTTGCAGGGAACAGATTTTGGTTTTGAAATGAGAAATCCAAAATAGGGAAACAAGACGTTTTACGGGTTTTAATCAGAAAACGAAAAAAAACTACCTGTTTTCTGTTTTGAAAACAAAAATAGAAAAAGTTAAGCTGACCCGTTCTGTTCCCCATATTTCTGAATAGTAGTCAGGAAACAGCTGGTTCCTGATTTTAGTTTCTTTTAGTTTAGAAAATCCATTGGCTGCAAAGTACACCGACCCTTAAAAAAAACAACAACAGGATGTTCATTTGTGATCTGTTATAGACTAGAAGTTGACCTTTTCACCATAAATAAATAAATCTATAATACTTTGCTAGTTAATTCGAGTATCAGGTCAGAGAGGCAATTTAATCTAAGAAAGAATAGCATTAATTAACAATAGCTAAGCTAACTGATAACTGCATGTTAAGATTGCTTTAGCTGTTAGCTTGCAAACAAATTAGAGGAACTTACTTGGGAAACATTATCCGCTGGCTTTTTATGAGGTCTTCCTCCACGGTGGGAGAGATTCAGAGAACCATGGTTATGTAAATAACCCCATGATTCTGTTTACTCAGGGATGAAAAGGATTAGTTGGGGGATATAACTCTCAATGAGACCATAATGGCAATAAACACACACAGATCCACATGGTCCAACGTTTAACCATGCCGTGCTTTACCATGCTGTGTGTCACTAGTTAAACAGTACTTCACTTAAAAAATAGGCCAAATTATTAACCTGCCATTCGAAGGTTAATGTTTGACATTGTCTGCTGACGCTCAGCAAACAAAAAGTCTGGGCACATCTTGTAAACATTGTTTTAAACCTGGGACCAGACAGATCCCTTTTCCAAAGACAAAAGTTGCTGTTTGAGCTGCACAAACAAAATGCAGATAGATGCGTTACCACCGGCTGAGTTGAGGTGACCGAACAGGCGTCCCGAACGTGTAATTAAATTAGGACAGAAGCATTTGTTTGACATTTTTGACCGGTCAGCATTTGGCAAATTGTTAGTGTTCTACATTTAATGTTGGTCACTGTTTGCTGTCTGAAGACAAAAAAACAAACAAAAAAAATGCACTTGATGATGTTCTAATGTACAAAGTTATGGCCGCGAGCATCCTATACAGTATGAGACAAACAGAACTACCACATTTATGGGAATGTTTGAGGGACATTTTCCACTTTACATTTTGTTTATCGCAAAATGCTTTGTTTAAAATTTTTAAAATATTTTAAAAAATGTTGCCTCAAGTGCAAAAGAAAAGTTGAACAATTCTCAGATTCATCATATCCTAATCTGCTTTAAAATAAACCCAGTTATGTGACCGAATTTGAAAAGCACAACAGGCACACTGGAGACTGTCGATGCTCTAGACCGACTGCTACGATGGCACTTTCCTCACAAGTGTAACCGTCAGTGACCTTGTTTTTTGAATGGTGCATCAGCAGCAACGTCAAAAGTGTCAAAAGGTCAGGGGGCAAGAAAGGAAGTCTCGCTGAGTTCACAGGACAGACTCAATGGCTTCTGGCGTGGACCCCAAGGCTTTGGTTTGGTGCATGACGAGCGGCGAGGTCTCCTCCTCAGCCTGGACGTTGGCCACTGCCTCCACCCGGATTTCCGCCAGCTCCCCGTCCTGCTGCTGCTCCTGCTGCTTCTTCATCTCCTGCTGGTTAATGTGGTGGAGGATTCCAGCGCCCAGAGCGTCGCCCTCCACGTTCACCACCGTGGTGGTACGATCCCTGTATGCAGAAGAGACGGTAGCTGAGCTCAACCTACTTTTAACAAACATGGAAAATGAAGACTGTGACGGCACCCACCTGTCACTCAGAGCGACCATTCCCTTAATTTATGCTTAACTTTAAACCTTAATATAACATAACTGCGATGAACGGGGAAATTAGCTATAGAGACCAAAACTTAACTCCTTCTATTCATGCCCCTGTTAACGGTATTTTACCTTATTGCTTACTTATTTATATTAATAGTCTGTTAATTGGAGTTAAATGTACAATATATTCCCTGTTATCTGCTATGTGCTGATATATTTTTTCCCAGTATATAATGCAGAAGCAAATGTTTGAGGTAATACATTGGTGTCAATGTAAAGTTTATCCAGCAGAGTGCGCCGAAATGTACAATACTGTGGCAAGCAGCACAGAGTAAGAGAGAAGAAGCAGCTCTCAGCAACTACAATAGGTTGCCGATGTATGTTAGAGCCATTTCTAGAAAGCTCTTATACTTTAGAAATAAATAGTTTGGCAGTGGTAGAGGTGGTTTGCATCTCAAGAAAGGTCTAAATGAAGGCAGGTGTGCTATAATTAGGGGCTGAGGAAGACAGCATGGGGATAAACGCATTGGTTTTCATTAGTTCTGTTTGATTAATTTGTTTTCCCCACTTATTTAAAATTCTTTGTAAAGGCCCGTGTAAAAAGGCCCAGTCCATGAAAATCGACTCCGTGCCCAGAATTGGAACAACCGTCACCAAGCATGACCCTGATCCAAAACTGGAGGGTTTCCCTCCCCCCCAAAATTGGGCTCTGAATAACTGCGTCCAGTTTGGGACTGAAGCAGTTTGAAATATTGGATATATCCCATACAACAACCCATGTAGCTTTGTTTCGGATGAGTCCATCTTTCATCAGGCCAGGGCAGAGTGACATGCTATTTCGTTCTGTGGCTTCCTTTTATACACTCTGTAGTTGAGTTATATTTATTTTGGGCTTTATTTCCCTTGGCTTTGCCTGGTTTTAGGCTTTTTTTTTACCTTAATTTTGGTTTACGGTTTTTTGGGTTTGCTTTTGGTTAGGGTTAGGATTAGGGTTGGGGTTTGTTTTTGTTTATGACACGACAGTCAGCAGAGCAATAGCCTACACCATCCAAGTGAACCATCGTAGATTGAGAACAAGACAACGAGTTGATAATATTACAGCGTCTGTGGGCAGTTAGGGTTAGGGGTTGCAGGGTCAGACAGTATCGGTGCACAATCCACAAAGAAAAGAGTTCTCTTTCCAGCTCCAAAATTCACTATATTGACCACGATATCGGTCACCAGTCTAAAACATCCCATATCAGTCGGGCTCTAAGATACTGTATGTCCTCATTAGGAAAACTAAAAGAAAGCACTACAAAGTGAATACAGGGAAGGACATTGATAGAACTGGTTCTGCACAAGGACAAATGTCTTATCTTCATCGCTCAGATGTTTTTTTTCCCACAACATGAGAACAAGAAAAAACCTCCTGAGTCCCGTGTTATACAGCAGGAATGCTCTTTGAGATGTAAAGTATTTGTTGTAACTTGCTTAGCCTGCTGCTTTGTGTGTTTGCTCTGAGCTACTAGTTCTCTTTGTTTTCCACTTGTTGGGAAACCCTGGTCTAGTTTAGCCTGCAGTAATGTTGGCATCGTGTGTGCAGACGTAATTAAAATGTTTCTGTCAGTGGGTTCACAGGCTTTACTCACACAATCCAGTCTACAGCCAGCATGAGGGACAGGTCGTTGGTCGGCAGGCCGATGGCCTCCAGGATAATGGCGATGGTTATGATGCCGCCAGCCGGGATGCCTGCTGCACCAACACTTGAGGCTGTGGCTGTCACCCTAGAAATAATAATAAAGTAATCATATACTGTTGTAGGAAAAGAAACACATTATTTTGCTGGTAAATCTAAGAACGAATCCACACATGGATGTGTGTCTCATAATAGTTATGTTGATCTCACAGGATGGTGAAGATCTGTCCAGCGTTCAGCTCAGCGTTGTTGAGCTGAGCGATGAAGACAGCAGCGATGCACTGGAATATGGCCGCCCCATCCATGTTAACGGTGGCCCCGATAGGAAGGATGAAGCGGCTGATGCGTTTGTCCACGCCATTGTTCTCCTCAACACATTTTATCATAGAGGGAAGAGTTGCTGAACTGGTGAGAAAAACAAAGAGGTAGAGCATTATTGTGTCGTCTTTATCAGCCACTCAGGTTAAACTAATACTTCAGATCACCGAAATGCAAACTTCTTTTTCCAATTTCGGTAAAGTCAGCAGTTCCTCTGGGAGCCTGTGGGTGACGGTATACCTGGAGCAGGTGGCGAAGGCAGTGGTGAAGGGCGTGATGAGGCCTGACAGGAAACTGTAGGGGTTCTTGCGTGTGAAGCCGAAGTAGATGAGGGGCAGGACGATGCCTCCGTGGATAACGTGGCCCAGGATTGAAGCAAAGATGTATTTTCCCAGACTGGTGACCAGAAGAACCACATCTTCCATTTCCACAATCTTACTGCCCACCAGGAACATGATGCCAAAGGGGATATACCTGAGAGGAGGAAAGAAGTTTCTTAGTATCTTCACAAACCACTTTAAGATCCCATATTTGTCCGACTCCACTCACCACATGATCCAAGACACCAGCACCATGGTGGCCTCGTTGAACGCGTTGAAGAAACGAATGAGCTCTTCCCCCTCCTCTCCCAGTTTCTTCAGCGCCACGCCAAATACCATGGCAAATAACACCAGACCCAGGATGTTCATGCCATCTGTTTCTGTACCAATAGGCACCTAAAACACAGAGCAGAGTCACACTATAGGAGACCGAACACAGTGAAGAGACTGTGGGAAGGAAAGAGCCTCAATTAATGCGAATATTTCCATTACTAACGTAATCCTTAACGAGGAAAATGCTTCTATATATTTTTATATCATTATCGTTTATCACCTTTGTTATTTGCAGCCAAACAACAAATAAAGGGCCTGAAATGGCCTCCAGACCAGCAGTTAAAGACCCCTGCTTTAAACTCTTCTAACTGGCTATTTAGCAGCGAAGCCAGATTACCTGGAGCTGACACTGAATACACATTTTGGGTGCTGGTAGTTTCAATGTCTCATGACCTCACACACATTTTGTTCAGCCAGCTGTTTCTTGTTTTACTTTGTATATAATTCAAGCCAGAAACTCGCAGGGGATCAAAGGTCGAAGGATCACTTAGTCCTTGGGTTTCGTCCACTGGGAACCTTCAATATTTGCACAAAGTGTTAATGGAAATATTTCAGTCTGGATCACAGTGGTGGACCAACAGCACTGATGCACTGACTTGTGATCCACATGTTTAAAATTTTAAACAAGACTGGTTCTCTTAGCCCATCGAACACTTTCACATTACAGCAACTGTTCAGTGGACTTGGACCTCATTAGCCTTTCATGCAGTGGATGGAAGCTGGACACGCAGTAGTTTATATGACACCTCTTGCTACAGGGTGGGTGCATAGGTCTGAAGGGTAGCTGAAGGATTCAGTGAACTGGATGACGGATAACGAGTAAGGACAGGGACAAATCCTGAGCTCAATCCCCTTCCATTGTCCTGAGCTCTCCCACAGCTCCACCAGCTTCATCCCCTGGCAATCGAAGGGACTGTCCACCATGACCCACGACAGACAAATACCATGGGCCGATGCCAAGATCAGATCCCCCAACTGTTCCCTTATACCGGGTGAGTGGGGACAAACTGTGCCCGCTGGGGAGTAGTAGTTGGATTTAAAAGATTATTACTGATCATGTTCAAAATTTAATTTAGCAAATTAGATAATATAGAAACGTCGGACTCTTTAAACTCACTTTAAAAGCTCACCAGTCATAAAGGTTGTTTAAAAACTGGTGCTGTGGAGCATTTCATGCGTTCTTAGAAGGATCTTCAGTCCCTACTTTGTTGAACATGTTGAGTGAAGTGCTGCAGAAAGATGAATCTTTGTTAAACTAACAAACTCATCACACACTCATCTATGATTGGCTACGTCTAACAGGCCCAGCGGCAAATCTGTAAATCTGCAACCAGCCATGTGCCAGGCTGTGTTTGTTCCGTGTTTACACCAGCACTTTATCCTCCTCACAATCCCAGCAGATATCTGGTGGGTCAAACTAACCTGTCCACTGGCCAAACACTCTGGACTGACTGAAAGCTCATCACAATACAAAAACAGAATCCATTTTGTCACGCACGTTTGTTGTATAAGCAAGACTTTAATGTAAAAATAAAACCACAAACCGGTGTCCATTCCTGTTAACCCTGATGTCAAACCATAACCCAACCAAATCCAGAACTGTTTCTATAAAATCACTGCTCAGAGAAATCAGGACCAGAAGGTTTCAATATGCTTCAAGGGACTATGTTGGTCTACCTATCTGAACTTTATAATGTATTTTTACCCTGAACATGGCTGTGGGTTTTCTTATGTAGTATCACTATGAAGGAACCTCCTTATGATATTCCAACACATATATGACATGTGAGTGTTGTATTAAGACAAACTGAGTGTTTGATTAAGATAAACTCTGCAGGCTACATAAGATTTCTACTGCTGGTATTTGCTCTTTGCATGTTTCCACTTGTCGACACATTTAGGAGCAGAGTAGATAACAAAAACAGCTTCTCCCTCCCTCCTCTCTTCAGTGCTGTACCTACAGTGGATTCAAATGCATTTTATTAATCTATTGATCTTTTTAAAATCAGATTCTATTGTCTATTAAATCTACTGTCATTGAATTCTTTAAATGAACACATAGCTACTGTAAGTTAGTTGGTTATTTGTCAGCAGTGGACCTGAATCCTTGAGACATTTTTTAGTCTTTAAATAAAAAACAATTACCCTTTGACACAGATACAACCTTATTTATAATGGCAGTGTAATAAGACTGTATGACCCTGTTTTAACAACCATGTTCGCTCTTATAAAAACTGCAGCATTTTATAATCAACCTTGAACCCATTCTCCCCTAAACCAAGTCATCCATTAGTCTCGCACATAGTGCTTATTCACGCACACATGCTCAGAGCAAACATGCTCTTCAAGGGTCAACAGTATAACCTCCTGTTTTTAACTCTTTAACTCATGTAGACACAGATGAGAGCACTTTTCCTTTCAAAGGTGCAATGTTTAGCATTTTAAATGTGTGTGAAGGTGACTGTGTGTGTGTGTGTGTGTGTGTGCTTCCTGATCCTACCTTTTGATAGAGGGTGGTCCCATTGGTGTCGTTCCCTGCAGCAACCATCTTGTAGTCAGTGGCATACTGCAACATAAAGGAAAGGAAGACTTGAAGTTCATTTTGTTTGATACTGTTCAGTCATACATTTTATGCTCAGCCAATAATGTGTCAAGTACACATTAATGTAAACTGGAAGTATATGAGTGTGTTTATCTGTTAGTGACGGCTCAGTAAACAAGATATCCTGGTTTTTGAAAGGTGAATACGTCTGACTAACAAATTGAAGTATTTTTTATTCATTCAACATCATGTATATAGTTTAATAACTCTGTTTTCAGTAACTCACTTCCCTCCTCTGGTCCACCGTGGAAGGTCTGCTTGTTGTTCCCTTACAGCTGAATAAAACATTTAAATCACCTGAGCTGTTTTTTTCCACAATCAGTGTCAATTATTCTTTTAGTCATTGGTTGAGTTACTGATCAATAAATGCATCTCTGCAAACCTGTTTCTGATTGGTGTATGGCACTGGGAAATTATACACACACACTTTTAAGATTATTATTATTATTTAGCACGATATAGGGACAACATATATCTGAGGTAACAAAGTAAAACACATCTACAAAGGGAGGGCAGATGGACTGTTGATATGAGCTTAAGTAACTAATCCAGAGATTGGAGAGACTGACTGCCTGCACACAACCCAAGAGGAGAGGTAGAGACCATGGCGGGATTGGCAGAGGAGCTCTGGACTGCGATTACTCTGAGCAGCATGCATGGGAATTAATTACAATATAATATAATTTAATATATTCTCGCTTTTTCCCTGATGGTCTAAACAAATCGCTACATTTTTAACTAGTTGCTTTTTGGAAATAAAATCCATAAGATCGTCTGAAAAGTTGATAAATTTAGTGAAAAAAATCACCAAGTTGGCATCACTGGCTGTCTTTATGATTGACTTTGTGTGTATGTCGGTGCACAGGTGATGTGGCGTGGAGCTCGTGTGGGTGCAACCTCACATTTCTAACAGTTCAAATGACACATATTCCATGAGCCATAAACATAATAATTTCTACAACATTTCTAATCATACATTTCTCTACTTTTTCTCCCATTTTGTCACTGAGTGAAAATACTCAAGTGTTTTCATGATTTATAAAATTTTTGTGTTTATAAAACCTTTTTAAATACAGTTCTAATCTTACAGATGCGTATGGGGGGTTTTGTGAAATTGGTAAGCAACGATGGAAAAAGAACTGACAGTGCTTAAGAACAGTGTCTGTTTTGAATGCAGCATGTGTATTAAGTTGGGGTGCATTCAGTTTGACACTGGAGTTCAGACAGTCTTCACACAGTAAAGCAACCATCATGAATACAATGCTCGCTCTCTCTCTCTCTCTCTCTCTCTCTCTCTCTTTCTCTCTGCGTTTCTTTTAACAGCCGTATAGGATAAAGGTTTCCAACAGCTTGGCAGATCTATGCACTTGAAATGAGCCTACATGCAACATATTTGGACATGCAGAGACATTATGTGTCCACAGTCACTACAGCATAAAGTCAATCTTACACCTCATTTGTTTCCATTTCGGTTTAAGCATCTAGCTGCTTGTCATTTTGAGTAAATCTCCCCTCTCCTCTACTTTCTTGGTTTAATCCACAGTTGGACCTATTCCACGGGGGCTCTACCACAGTATAGGCTGGTTGGGTGGGGGTGAATATTGAACTCTATGAACTGGCTGCACTTTACTCTTGCAGGTTTATAATTCACTGGCCTGGTTTGAGGCAGGTTGGAGTACGAGCGACTCAGTGCTTGTGCTTTCCTTTGTGTGTGTGTGTGTGTGTGTGTGTGTGTGTGTGTGTGTGTGTGTGTGTGTGTGTGTGTCTTGTATCCCTGCATCCCCAAATATTGAATTTTCCTGGTTCTTATTTTAGCCTCAGCAAGCACACGATCATAATTCTAGGAAGCGGAGCGGGCCGCGTTCAAGAGCAGCGAGGCGAGATGGGTTGCTAGGCTGGCGGGAATGGAATGGTTTCGCCATGGTAACGCCTGGTGAGGGACAAGAAAAAAGGAGGCGTTTGGGCGAGCAAGGGGTCTCCATTCTGAGCATCTCCTCATTAAGAGGCATTGTGAGGCCCTCAGTGCCACAGCCAGGATTTACAGCCGCGGTAAATGAACGTGGAGTGGCGTCCGCATTGGTCGGTGAAATAAATTCTGATGAACAATTCACACGAGACACAGGTGGGAAGGAGAAATAGACAGAAAGGGGTGATAAAAAGGGGGAACTTTGTGGATAATGAGGTGTGGTGAAGTGAGGTGCTGGCACTCACTGAACGGAAAGCAGCAGCCACCAAGTTCGCTGGGAATAAATTCCTAAGAAAGGAAGAGAAAAACAAGTTAGAGTCACACAAAATGACAGCTGTTGTTTTTCCTGTTTGATTTCATGTAACCAGACCTTAAATACGGGTAATGATTAAGCGTGTGGTTTGTTTTAAAAAAGCAAACAGACAAGGAGGGAACACTAGTGTCAGAAAGTCTGTTAGAACCGTGTGGTTAACCCATCTGAATGATGAAATTGTTCACGGGATTGGTTTGTCATCACACACTGAATGTACTCTGGCTCTTTTCCCAGGATCCTCCATTAAGTCCACTGTTCCCTAAATTCCCTGACAGAGCAGTTGTTCTGGCACTGATCTACTGTCTGGTTCATCTTTTATTAAAACAAATCACCAAGGTCTTTACTAGGATTAGATATTCCTAGAAGTTTCACTGTATTCATTCACACTTCATTTTTACTGTATTTGATCAAATCCAGATTTTTCTTTTTCAAGAGGCATTAAGAAAAATGAAAGATGACACTTTGGAAGGTAAAGCCAAATTTGGATTATTTGCCATTTAGCCTTGGGTACGAAGATGTCCTTTCTCTCTCTTTTGAGTCACAGATGCCCCCTGAGAGTCTAATACTAAGACTAAACTGTCTTAGTCTTAGTCGACACGCATTTCATTAGCCAGATAGTCGCAGAAACCACTTTTTCTGTTAGTATTTAACAGGCAGCTGTTAAAATATATGGCTTTAACTAACAACTACTAGGTCTAAGAAAAACTTTAGTCAGGGGCAACCCTACAACAGAGTCACTGTGAAGCCTAATATCACGTACTGTATCTACATTGGAGGAACCAGTGGCCTACACAAAGGTGAGGGATCTTGAATCAAAAGAAGCAGAATCTCAACTCTAAATAAGTGTTTTTTGTTTCAGCTCTGAGTAGCAGGTCAACTGCATGTATTAACTGTACACCACGTACCGGTTGTCATAGTGCAGGGTCTTTGTAATTACAGCAAAATTCAACATACTTTAAGGTTTTTATACAAACTGGAATTACATTGTCATAGAGCCATGTCAGCAGATGTCAGTCCACATTAAAGGGTAGGTATAGACTATATAGTAATATATGCAGTACAACCTAAAAACAAGTACAACAACTTTAAATGTAAGACTCAAACAAAAGTAACAAAGTAAAAATAAATCTGCACATTTCTGACACAAATGGAGCCTCATAGAGATAAAAACTGAAAGAAAATACAATTATTTTCAACTTTTAGGCATTTGGAAGTTTAAGGGGTCATGGTTTCCTGCTGTCACATGACCGCGGCAGGGATCTGGATTAACCCTGGGAAACCAGAGCTGGGAGCTGGCATGCTTTCTCCCACGGAGCCTCCTTTCTGTAGACTGATTTCTAAAGCTCTGTTACATAACAACTTGATTTCCTAATAAATCTAAGCCAAACATCATGCACAACCCCTCCGGCTGAAGGCGGCTGCAGCAACAGGTTGTTCAGCTCATGTGGTCGGGAGTGTTTCTGACTTTCTGCTGTCTCTCTGCGTCTTTAACCCTCGCTGCAACAGTTCACACGTTTCCAAATTAACATTTATTCTCTGCACAGAAATACAAGAAAACATGAATTTGATCCGTCATTTGTTTATCTTTGTTCTGTGTTTGTAACCAACTCAACTCCACATCTGATAGAAAGAGAGACTCTACAGAAACATTTCAGGAGGCTTATCGTCTTTATTAGCATCAGATAATATTTAAAAATGTAATTTTAACCCTTTAAGATCACATCCTCAGTTATTTTGTTCCCTAATTTATGCAAAGATTTTTTACAATAAAATCCAGTCATTGTGTTTTCCTGTAAAACAAAATGTGACCTGATTTCAAGTCTAGTGTGATAATGCATGGACAAACTGTTTCTAAAGTCTTACTCAGAGTATATTAAATTACCAAAATGTCTTCTCTTCTCACATTATGTGAACCTTTAAATGTGATCCGCCCTCCTGCTGGAGACCCCACAGCTCAGGCTCAGGAGTCTCTGAGCACTGTTTGAACTTCTAATGAGAGTGTTTGGACAGAGAAATGATACAAATCCCAGAAGAAAGGAGCTCCTCATTAAGACAATATTTGGACTTCAAGTAGAACTTAAAGTTCTGTCAAAGTTTATATCCTTCATTCCTTAATATCTGGAGAGTATTTCTAACCTTTGTGAGTGAAAATGAACCAATTTTAAAACACCCGAACTGTGAAAAGAGAGAACAACCTTCCTGTAGTGTTTGGAGCACCCAGTACAAATATAAAGTCTGACAGTGTAAGACTGAGAAATACAGCAGGCTGTCCACCTGCTATCGTGATTAGGGAGAAGTGCTGACAGCAGCACACGGCGTTCAGTTTGTTCTACACAGAGCTGCTGGCGTTCATCCCACCAACTCTTTCCCTTCCTCTAAATACACTCCACTCTCCCAACAGCTGTCAGCTTTCCCTCACACTGTGGGAACTTATTTTAGGATTCCTCCTGTACGGATCGGTGCAGGGTCGGATAACATAGCTGCTCTGTTGAGTGTAAGAACGTCTTTCATCTGTGTATCTGACAGCAGTCAATCCTTTACCTAACCTCAACTGAATATAGAGAATTAGTGTCGTTGTCCATCTCTCTCCAACTGCTGCTGTCCCATCTCAAACCACGGTAGACCCTAAAAGTTTAGTCTGGGATCCACTGATGTGTAAAATGACATGTAAAGTAGGGTTGGGTAAATATATCAGGTGATTTTTTGAGTGATTTTTTCACTTTATTTTGCTAATTTAAAGTTCTGGTGATATGAAAAAAATGATTTTAACCCTTTAAGATTGCCTCTTTTTGAAAACAAAAGTGTCTTATCATTATATCAGTGGCATAATATGTCAATAATATTGTTTACTGCAGTTTTTTCTGGGAGAATAAAAGTAGTTAACAGAGCAATGTGTAAAACCTCTCTAGTGACATTCAAACTCTTTCTGAGCATTAAAAGAAAAAGCAGTCTATATGTAAACAGTTTCTGTTCAAGTTCCCAAACGTTCTCATGTCATGTGTTATGATATTTTAGAATCTCTTCGTACGTTTTATATGTAAAATCTCTTGTGCAACATAGATGCAGTGGAGTGAGTCGGGACTGTAGCTGAGCTGCATGTGGAGGATCTGAGCTGCGTCTTCCATGCTGGGGTTAGTTTTAGGGCTTATTTGAAGTACCTAGAGCTCCAGGCGCGTGTGTGTGTGAATGACACTGAGGTTGATGTTGTGAACCAGCGTTTCTGTCCACTCTCAATTTGAATTGCAAATCAAGTTTCAGGAGTTACACACAACACACTCCTATTTAACTTTTTTAAGCAATTACAAAAAGAGAGCCGCAATCCACGAAGTCCTCTGCACACACTAACAACAACTGCAGCATATTGTAGACAATCTGACCCCTAAACTGCAGGCTGCACTGACCTCTGAGCTGACCTGTGAGCTGACCTCTGAGCTGACCTGGGAGCTGACCTGGGAGCTGCTGTATGTAAAGCTTCAGGATAGCCTCATGGCTCCATGCGTCATGTGTGTAACTAACCAGTGTTCCCTCTGTGCCACTATTCCCCTCAGATCTCCTGCAGTATCACAGCAGGCTGCTTCATATTCAACACTGGCCTATATCAGAGTGTAATGATTACAGTGTGGCTCCAGTACCTGGCCAGATCCAGAAACGAGTCCGCGGTCTCCTTGTTGCTGGTGACGCTCTCCAGTCCCAGGCTGTTGGTGTTCAGGGCTCCCGCGCCCACGCCGGGTTTGATGATGAAGGCAAGGGCCACCCCGATCCCGGAGGCGATCAGCGTGGTCACCAGGAAGTAGGCGACCGCGATGCCCCCCAGCTTGCCCAGGGAGCGCGTGTCCAGGCTGGCGGCGCCGGATATGAGGCTGCAGACCACCAGGGGCAGGATGATCATCTTCAGCATCCGGAGGAGCATCTCTCCGGGGAAGGCGAAGTAGGTCATCTGCGCCTTGGTCAGGTTCATGTTGCGGACCATCATCCCGAGCCCGACGCCCACCAGCACCCCGGACACCGTGAGGATGACCAGCAGGTTCTTCCTCAGAAACTCCATCAGCCTCTCCCCGAAGCTCTTCTGCGCGCTCTTCTCCAGGATCCGGTCCGTGGAGGCCGAGCTGGGCATGGCGTGCCCGTTGATCTCGCTCTTTTTCTCCATCTTTTTCTCTCCAAAGAGCAGCGTGGGAAGCTGGGAGGCCGGTTTCAGGCAGACAGCGTGGGTTACAGATGCACTCACACTCACGCACTCTGCTGCGTGAAGGCTGGTCCGGAGTGAAAAGGCTGAGCGCAGAGTGGAGGGAGAGCCAATGGAGACGCAGCGACGACACTGGAACATGCGCACAGAAGCCGGCACTTTATACCAAGAGCAAATGATGCAAGAGCGGGGGATATTGCCAGGGTCTCTGGGAATGTGGCACATTCCCTGCCCTGAATATGAACAGGTTTAACCAGATTAATAAGAACAAGATTAAAACTACTCCTGTAAAGATTCAACATAATAAAATGTATATTATGTTTAAAATGCATGAGAATGACAAAAGCTTCGCTCTCATCCTGGTTATCATTACAATATCTGTACTTTTAAACACATAAGATCCATTTTCTAGTCCAGATTTATCTAATCTTTTGCTTTTCTTTGTCCTCAAACGCACCTCTAAACATCCAGTGCAGAGGCTGTGTCCCTTCAGGGTCTATTTAACAGATTTCACTGGTCTTTATGGATCAAAATCAGACTGCAAGGAAGAAAAAGATTTTAGAAACATCAATTAATCTCCTTATTCATCAAGTTTAATTAGATTCTTGCACTTTTACATGTGGGGTGAGTTTTGGCCCCCAGTGATCCATCAGCTCCACAGGATGAGGATGATGGATGGAGAGCAGAGGGCTGTCAGCACCATGGCCAGCGCCATCTAGGGGGCGCTGTTGCTCACCGTTTCTTTTTCACTTCATTTGAATGGAAACAGCAGACAGAATAAAAATGTTTCATGAAACAATGATTATTTTAGAAAAGCAGAAAGTTAAAATAAGGACTAATATCTTGCTCATAATGGCCATTGGATTTTTTAAACATTTATTCATGTGACTCCTTGTTGCACCTCTGGGGGTGAACCACGAGATGGCGCTATAATAAAGGTGTTTTACATGTATTTACACAGCAGACAGAGCAAAGCTAGAGTGGCACATTATGAATAATAGGAAGCAATAATTAAACTTAATCTGACTGTAATAAATCTGTCCCTTTATTTGTCATTTTCTCCATTAATTTCACTGTGTTCCCTCTTTTTGTTTGAACTGTGCCGCATAAATACCATAAATCTTTCTTATTATTCTCACATATATTAAACCAGAGTTGAACAAATAAGCTTAAATATGAATTAGGCCTATTTTTGAATGTTTTTTACTATAAAATATGAAATTTGAATGAATTGTTGGACTGTTTTGTTCCATGTATGAATTGATGATTACATGATTAAATACAATTCAGTTTACAGGTGTTGGGGATTACTGCTACATTACTAGTTACATTACTTTTCTGCTGTGGTTGACAGAACTTTACCGTAATAAATACGGTAGAACTTTTATACTATTACAGTAAAAGGATATTAATACTGTTGATTTTAAGAGTTTTATTCCATATTTTACTGTATAAATAGTTTTAACCATCAAAAGAAACAGTTTTGCCACATGAATGCTGTATAAAAAACGTTTTGTCCTGAAATATGACGGTAATTTTCTGCACAATTTACTGTCCTTATTATAAGAAAGTACTTTCTTTCATATAAATTCCTTTAAAGTGCTGTATAAATAAAGGTTTTGCCATGAGATATGATAAACTGTATTTACCTATTTAGAGTTTATGGTCTTTTGCTGTCGTGGTTTTAGCAGTTCACCGTAAAATATACAATAAAATATAGACTTCTTTTTACAGTGCAGGAATAGAAAAAAACATCCTGAAATATAAATGTAATAAGTTTAACAAGAATGGAAAAAAGACAGTAAAATCAATTGAGCATTTTATAAAAGAACATTTGAAGGACTGTCTGTACAGACAGAAAGAAGTCTGTCTCGCTGCCTCTGTTACTGACTGTCGTCTGTGTTGTCCTCAGTGACCTTAGCTCTGCTGTTGCTAAGTTGAGCTAAACTTTCCCTCCCTCCACCAATAGAGACAGATTGTCCCCCTTCCCCTCACAGCTGTGTGGCCTGAATGCTGGAAATAACCGCCGGCCTGCGGATCAGGAGTCATGGCTGTTTAACAGTGGCGAATGTTGGCACTGCGCCGAAGTAAACTGGAAGAAAAAAAAAATAACAGAGAAGGCCCAGGCCGAGCCTTATAATGGACACTGTTACTGAGCCAGGACGAGCCGTAACCCAGAGACATACATAGTGCATCAAACTGGTACCAAGCAACCAACCCAGATCCAATCAGTATGGCAATGTCTGATATGATGGATTGGATGCAGAATGACCAGTTTTATACTGGCAAACCTGTCTCGGCCTGACTTAATAACAGCTTTTACAAATGTGTGTATTTCACTTCCCAATCATTTTCTTTAAGGGAGCCTTTTTCTATCATTTAATAAACTGACTCAGTGACGTATTTTATAGATATTTCATATTAAATTCAAAACTATACAATGAACCCAAACAGAAACTGTAGGAAGTTTGTGTGATTTGGATGAATTTTGAGCAGATTATTTCCTGCTTAGGGAACTCTTTATACAATTCTCTATCTGTATTATGTATTTTTTGTAATTTGTAAAAATCATACAGACTTAATAGGCTTCTCTCTTGTCCACTGATGCTTGGCCATTTTTCTGTTAGACAATTTACTTCATAGGTGTGAACCAAATGCTGAGGTAGAGGCCTACTGTGTATAGTTTTTAAGTTTTCTTACACAAGTAAACTGTGAAATCCAAAAACTGACAAAAGGGCATGAAAACAATTAAAAAGCTTAACATCTTCCTTGAATTAACAAGCTAACTGCTGGCTTTAATTAGCTAACTAACTATAATTAAAGGTTTTTGTTGTATTGTTTTTATTGCATTCACATATGTTTTTTTTTAAATATATTAAAAAAAAGAGGATCTAGTAATTATGTGATTATGAGAAAAGATAAATTAAGTAAAAGTACAACGCTTTATATTTATTTTGTTTAACTAACACTATTAAATACTGATGTATTAATTCATAATCTATAGTTTTGTCAGCTTTGGGGCTCCATAGAGGACCACATTATCCTGGTATCCCTCAGCCTGGAGACATTTCCTTCTAAAAGAATCTCCTGTGCTGTAAAAATAGCCATCTGAAGGAGTCACTCATTCTTAAAACACCCAGAAAGCTTTGAAGAGAATCGAATGTATTCATGTGTTTCCCACGCAAATCAGTTGTTCTGAGAATTTTTAATTTCCAATTTTGCGTCATTCTTTAGCTGCAGGGTGAAATTAGGGCCAACAGTGAGACATTCAGGAAGGAGGATATCTTCCGAATGTTTGGTGGTGATTTTTTGGGGGAATGTGAAGGTTTTGGTTCCTGCCTCAATATATTTAGATATATGCAGTTTTAGGCCAAAATACGGGATTAGCATGAAGTCTGCAAAGGACAGACTCATGGCTACCCATAGACCCCATTTTCATTGAGATATCTTAAGGTCAGAGGTCAAGGAATCCCATTGAAAATGGCCATTTCAGTTTTTCCATGGCCAACATTTAGCCTAAATTTGCAGCATCATTTTGCCCTCTTCCCAACATGCTAGCATGACATGGTTGGTGCCTGCTACAGCCTCTTAAAGACAGTGCAGAGTGGATAAGGGCAGGGTAACAACATGACAGCTGGCCAATCAGATTTCACAGGTGGTCCGTGCAACCCCCTCTGGAAACGCCGATAATGGACAGGTTGTCTGCGCTCTAACAGCTGAAGTTTCGGTTTTGTTATTAGGCTTAAGGCAAGAGTTTTTATTGTTTTATATCGTTATATCTGTTCTAACCTTTGGATGTTTGCACTGTACAGCAACGTTTAACTCTGGTTTAATCCATTAGGGCACAAACTGGTCAAAAGTCAGTTAATTATATAAAAATGAAGGTGAATGTGTTTATAAGAACAAAGAACAAGACAGTACACAACATCAGAAAACAAGGAGACATCTGCTCTTTTTACAGTTTATTGTATATATATATACATTTATATATATATATAAAACTACAAAAGTAAGACTGTTTCAAATTCATAGACAGCTGTCCATTATCTCATATACTATATGTATATATTTATATATATTTTATCTACAGTCCACATTTGGATCCCATACAGTGATCAGCTGACAGTTTCTCTCTCTGTGTTTGTGTTCTATTGCATAGAAAAAGGCACAGCTCTGAGGTCTGTGTAAAATACAGCCTTCTTAGAGGAAATCAGCCTTGACTGCGGCCGGTCTTTCTCGGCGATTTCGAGCCGCCACACGCTCAGACAGCGCTAAAACAGATTCGGTAACAAACACTGATCAAAAAAGTCTCAGGAGCTTGAATGTTGTTCATACTATGTACATTACTTTTGGCATTGAAGCGTCTATGACAGGCTTTGGAGTATTGACATCTGAAGGTTGGAGACGGGTTTTTGAGTATTGCTGCATGAACTGTTCGCCTTCAACTGGAAAAAGATGAATGAATGAAACGAGTACAAAAAGATGTAAAAGGTTGTGGCCGCCACCCCACAAAAAGATAAATCAGTAACAAAGCAACAAACAAACAGATAAACAAGATAATATAACTACCTATGTATAAAAAAAAAAATGGCTTCCACCCATAATTCCACACTCAGATACATTCCTATCTGAAGTACATTCCTACCACACATTCTGTACACACATTTACAATCCAAATGTTCACTTCACATCAAAAATAAATATATTTACACAGAAAAGAAAAAAACAATACGAATAAATAACTTCATTGACCCCAAAAAAAAACAAGCACTCCAAAATTCAAACATAGTGAAAGAAACAAGACGCAGTCATCTGCAAACAGTATTAGTTGGTGCTGCTTTCTGCTCGGTTCACACTCGGCTTTGAATTCAGTTCAAATGCAGTTCATTTACATACTAGTTGAGGTCAAATGCACACATGGATACTAAAGATCTTCCATTGGAACAAGGTTTAACATGGCCCCCGACCTCACTGCTGTTGGCTAACAGTAAAATGAGTGAGACTGGATTCCAGATAACACATTCTTTCCCATTAACCACTACTGAGTCCCGTCAGCTGGGACCTCTGCTAGAAACACTATTAACATATTACACCAAAGCAAGGCTGAGTTGGTAGACAGAGACATTTTTAGGGTTTCTTGTGTTATTTGTGTCTTTACTTTTGAAGGAAAAATCCACCCAAAATTCCTTCCAACACCTAGTGGTGATGTATCCTGCATTTCTGGACCACTGCAGCGTCTTGATATGTATAATGATAAGATACAGTGCACAGCAGAGTCTGTTGGCAGAGAAATTATTGTATTAAATGATTACACAGCATGTTGGAGCATTCTTTTAGCTCACTGTCCTGGTTTTCTGGCTAACTTTCATCTCCAGTACATCTAAAATGTTCACCAAAACAACTTTATAGGGTGACAATATGTCACTGTTATGTTTTGAGCTTTTCTGTTGCCCCCAAGTGGACAAAAACACAATGAATGCAGCTTTAAACATCAATGGTGTAAGAAAATATCCAAAAATATCGTATTGCAATGTTTTTTTCTGATATTGTATCGATTCTCAAAAACACTGTATTGATTTTTGTGTTTGAACCCCCTACCGCTAGATAGCAGTGTTGTACACATACACTGAGGGCTATGATGTTGGATGTTACAGCGACTGTGATAAATACAAATGTTCTGGTTGCATAAAAACAGTTAACTTTTTTAACTCAGATTTTATGCATATGGTGTTGTTTATAATATGACAGTTTTTTTTTAAATTGGCATTGCAATATATCACATTATATTGAATTGTAACCCCTGTATGGTGATACATATCGTATCGCCAATACACAGACCTATTAAACAGCAAACTGAGGGATTTTGAAAAGCCTCCGTTCTACACTGATACTCAACATTCACACGCAGAATCCAGTTTTACCAAAAGTAGCCTCAAGACAATTACAGCATTTATAAAAAGTCCTGAAATGCAGTGAACTTTAACGACTGGTGAAAATAAATAAGTGTAAATGTATCCCAGGGTGGATTTTTCCTTCAATTCAGCCTGTTAGTTAAAATCTCTGCCTGACATTTTGCTTACGTCTTTCTGAACATTGTAGCAAAAAAAGACATTTTACAACTTGTTTTGTTGTATGAACTCTTAAAAACAAACTCCTAAAACTGTCCTATCCTGTGGTCCTGTAACTAGTTTGACTTCTACATAAAACCAAAGATGGTTGATGTGTGATTTGCTAATTATAACTATTCTGGTGCCAACAACTAATCCTTGCAGAAGCTTTTGTGTGGCTGTGGATCGGTTCATTGTGAATGAAGGTCAGCAGTCTGATAGGTAGAGTTGTTCCGATACCAATACCAGCGTTTTCCGACACCTTACTGAGTACTGTGCACTGATCCGATACCAAAGAATTTATTAGCACCAAAACGGGACCTGATGCTTTCTTCCTGCCCTCTGACTACTGACAACCACTGGCAACTACAATGGATGAGACACTGATCTCTGCTGTTTGTGAGTTTCCTGAACTATAGAACTAACAGGAGAGCGTTCACACAGCCGAGCAGTGGCACAAACCCGATGTATCAGGTAACTTTAATTTTAATTTAAGCTATATATGCGGGTACGCAGGTGGAGAGTTTCTCCCAGTCTTTAGAGACCTTTACTAGTATATGTTTTTTAAAAGTAGCGCGTATATATGTTTTTAATACACATGTATTTGGTACTCATCTGATACGGAAAGTTAGGCATCGGAAAGAAACAAATGGTATCGGAACATCTCTACTGATCAGGTAGATGTAGATGACTGATCAGTGTTTTCAGGCTTTTGCATACATTTACATTACATTTGTATGCCTTTCACGTGGAACACCACAGTTAATAGCCAAATCTGTGACTTGAGGATGGAATTCAACCACTAAATTATCAAATACAACATCCAACTTCCTTATTTTACCAAACTAATGGAACATTTGTTTTAACTTCAGCTAGATAGACTATAACAGGTTCGACTGTGATTCTATTTAAAACCGTGTGTGTGATCTGCTGGGGGAAAAAAAACATGCAGACCTTAGGAATCCTCATGTGACCCTCATCTTTGATGCAGCACTTAGCTATCACATTTTGTCTTTTTGTGCCAAAAGTCACACATAGTGGCATGTGCATGGGCGGCCCATGCGATTTGACATATGCATTATTGCAGTATCCTGTTAACACTGTGGTTTTAGTTTCCTACTTCAGTGAAAATCCACATTCAAATTATTTACGAGACAGATTTAACCCTCCAGGTGGGTTAGCCTCAAGAAGTGAGCAGAACCCTGCGATTTGACACAGGGCTCCTATTCTAAACACAAGTAAACATACTCTGCAAATACGGGCTGTGTGTAATACTGTACGCTGTGCTGTAATTTTGTCTGTCAATCATGTTGCTAATTCTGTAGAAACCAAACCAAAAATACGGCATTTCTACCCAAATATTCAGTTTTCTTTGTGTGATGCTGAGTATTCGACATTGGTACCACAATTCCCTGCAATCTGTGAGAGCCACAGCTTAGGTTGGATTTTTTCGGATCATCTACATCCAACCGGGAGGCCGCTTCCAATGTAAACACGTCCAGTTTTCCTGTGGGTGTAGCTCATTTGAGTTCTGCTGTAACTGATGCATGATAACTAGCCCAAATGACATGTAAAACAGCATCCAGCACAGTTATAAGAGCCTGCCGATGAGGAAGGGAAAGACTAAAGTTCTGAACTGAATTCATAGACATGATGTGTACAAGAACAGACTTCTACCAAAAGAGTTTAACAAACAACCAGGCGACGAGTTTTACAGCGGTTCCCAAAGCGTAATTATATAGCCAAGCTAATATGTAAATGTAGCACACTGGTACTCCTCGTAAAAAACCTTTTTATGCTTGCTTTACAAATAAAACATAGCATCTGTAATAAGATAAAGATTAAATAATTATTATTTGATCATGAGAAATTACCTCACTTAATAATAGTTTTAATACAATACAATAAATTAAAAAAAACAAACATAGAGGAGTGACCTCTCTAGGCTGTTAAAGTGAAAAAAAAAAGAAGAAATACTGTAAAAACAGGAATTGAATAAGTGGTCATTTTGAAAGGCACTCATCTGCTAAAAGCCATGAATTCAGTGTGTGTGTGTGTGTGTGTGTGTGTGTGTGCGCGCATGTGTGGTTCACATTTCTATATCTGTGAAGAGTAAACGTCCTCACAAGAATAGAATGATTGCGAAAATCCTCCAGAATGAGGACAATTTGCAGGTCCTAATTTCCTCTATTTACAGTTACTTTTTAGGGTTAAGGCTTAGGCTCGGGTTAGAGATTAAAACTGGGATTTAAATTAGGGAATTTGGGAATGAATAGAGTCAATGGAGGTCCTCACAAGTATAGAAATACAAACTCATGTGTGTCTTTGTTTCCCGGTTACTTCATTTCCATATTTGGAAAGGCGAGCACAGTGCATGCACAGTGTTGTGTAGTAGTAGTTGTCATAGTAGTACTAATTGACATCACCATCGATGTTTACAATTACCGACCTTTGAAGAGAGTAAAAAAACCATAAAAACAACAACCAGGAAAACGCCCAAATCGATCCCAAACGCATCATTCCAGTCTGCTCTCGGGATGAAACGGTCTGTGTGTTTCTGAGGTGGCGGCGTCCGTGAGTCACGAGCCAACCAACACCTCCATGATGTGGTCCAGTTCTGTCAGATCAATTTTGAAAGGCTGATTGGCTGAAACCTGGGGGGCGGGGCCGCTGTACGGCGCCGCCAGCGATTTGAGGAGGTCATCCGCCGTCACAGTTACCGGCGACAGTTTGGCGAGGCCGCCACCTGCCGTCACGCCCACGGCCCCCGCCGTCATACAGGGGTCAAAGTCATACATGGACGTGTCGATGTCGGCGAACAGGACATCGTCCAGTGCCAAGTCTGAGAGAAACCCCGAGGGTGAGGAAGAGGAACAAGGGGAGGAAGGAGAGGAGGAAATGTCTACCAGGCCACCAGGGGGCAGTGTGGGCAGAGCGTCCATCGGTCGGAGCTCAGCGCAGCGGCTTTCCGCTAGCAAGACGCCAGCTGCCTCTGGTTTAGCACCCATGGTCCTGCAGTCTCTGGGTAGGCCCGTGGGTGTTGGGGAGAGGGGCGCTAAGTGGGCGGGCTGGGTGAGTGGCGTGGGAGCCGGGGAGGTAGTCACGGTCGTAGTATTAGCTGCTGCTGTCCTTGTTATGGCTGTGGGAGGACCCAACTCCATGTCACTCAGAGCGGAGGGGAAACCGTCGTTGGACGAGGCAGGCACAGGGACCCTGGGGGACACCTGGCTCAGGAGCGCCGACGGTAACGGGGGAGGCTGTGCCGGGGGAGGCGACAGAGGAGGAGTGGGCGGGGATGGAGCGCAGAAGGCCGAATCTCCACCATCCTCCTCCAGTAAAGAGGCGGGAGTGAGGCAGGCTTCCAGAGGGGTGGGGCAGGCCTCCGCGCGGTGGTGGCCGGCCGTGGATGCCTGGCAGTGGGGAGGCACCATTGGGTGGGGTGAAGACGGCGGAGCGATCGCCGGCATCAACAGCGCAGACGGCTGGGACACTTGCGCCGTCGCTGACAAAACGCCAAAGGAGGGCGGCGCCTCGCGGAAGCCCTCATCCATGGGGTCGTCGGGCGGCGGCGAGGGCGGGAAGAGCAGCGGCCGCAGGGAGCCTTCCTGCTTGAGTTCATCCTGGATGCGTCGCAGCATGTTGTTGATGAGGACGCGGCGCTCCAGGCTGGGCTCGCCAAGCGGCCGCTGGCTGTACAGCTTCATCAGGGAGATGTTGAAGATGGTCTGCCGTTGAAGGGTGTACGACACCTTGGACAAGCCCTCGGGACCGAGGCCTAGTCCCCCTCCCGCCACCGACGCCTCCAGCGTTTTGCCTTCCAGCCCCTCTTCATCCTCGTCCAGCTTCCGCTTCGCACCTTTACCGAACATATATCTGGAAACACAAAAACACAGAGACGGGACAGGAGTTTATTTGTGGCTCAACTTAAGGAAGCAGCAAGCGTGTCGGCGATTGGTTGCATCCATCGTTGTTTTATTTTATTTAGCTAATTTAAAAGGTCTGCCTCCAAGGAATGAGAGCCGCTTAGTAACAGACGTTCAGTGGCTGCATGTAGTCCCTCTCTCTCTCTCTCTCTCTCTCTCTCTCTCTGTCTCTTTCTCTCTCTCTCTCTCACCTATTTCCTGTCTATCTCTACCTGTCCTATCAAAATAAAGGCATAAAAAGCCCAGAAAATATCTTAAAAACTGTTCTCCCTGCTGGGTTTGTTAATGGAGAATTTCTAACTCGGTGACATTCTCCTCCGTTTCCCTGCCTGGATACACCTCAAACAACACTGATGTTCCAAAAATACCACACCAGGCCATTGGGATTTTTACACATTGATTTAAATCCAGTAGCACTACCGGATCTCAGCGTTGGATTATCACCACATCTCACCTCAATGAAAGCAGCCATATATTCACCAGTGACGTCTGCCGACTGGAACCCAGCAGCTTAAACTGTGGTGATTCAGAAAGCTGCTTAAACGCAACAAGCTTACTGCAACGGGGGATTAAAAAACATACAACATACATTGAAATCAAGAGCAGCTGCAATGGACGCCAGACCGCTGCATACTGTAGCCCAGCACGCTCATATGCACACGCTCAGAGCCACACACACAAACTTATGTAATAGCAGCGTTCCCAGTTGTACCACAGGATCATAGGCCAGATTTAAAGCCCCACCCCCCCTCTCCGTTCCTCCCCCCCTCCTACAATATTAGAACAGCACATTGAGTTACTTAGACCACTTTCAGACACCTGCTTCTCTCCGCTAACCGAGACGCCTCCTCACTGACAGAATTACACAGAATTATTTACCAGATTAAAGTTAAGTTTCAGTTTCACCCCTTTTGTCCGCCCATCTGCACTCCCCCTCTCTCTAAATCGCCCACACACTCTCTTTTTCTCTCTGTTCTCATCGGGTCGGTTCAACGACAGCTAAACGCCGGTATCATTATATACGGAAGAAACGCCAGTTCACCAACGCCGGGCAGCGTCGAGAGGAAGGACCTGAAGGAGCGCAGATAGACCCCCCGCTGTGTCGGGCTGATCGCGGTATTAGTGGGGGGGTGAAAGATATACAGTAGGAGAGGAAAGAAAGAGAGAGAGGCATAAACATACATATTCCAATAGCAGATCAATCGATCTGATCAAACTGTCTGATGGTGTCAATATTGGTGCTACAGAGGAAAGCAAGGCTGAAAGCAAGAGAGAAAACAGGCATCGCTGCAGTGTGTTTGACTCTAATCCAGGCTGACAGGCTCATGCAGCCAGTCGCTGTCTACACACACACACACACACACACACACACACACACACAAAGCGCATGCGTCTCCTCACACACACACACACACACACAACCACACACACAGGAAGTGTGAGCTGCAGGCCCAGTCACCACGACTGGTTGGTTGCCATGACAAACAGAGTCAGCTGGGAATTCACCCAAAGAGATGACAAAGAATGGGATGGGGGGGTGGGAGGGAGGGGAGGGAGGGGGGGGTGTGCTGGGGGGGCAGGAAGGAAGACGAGGAGGTGGAGGAAGTAGAGGAGGTTAATGATTGGTCTGGGAACGGTGGGAGGGGATTGAGCAACTTTCTCTCCTCCCTTAACTTACACTACTGCCGTGGTGCCTTTGAGCCAGGCACTCACCCCCAACCTCTTCATTACTTAATGGATGAAAAAAAAATATATATATATATATATATATATATATATATTGATTTCTTTGCCTCAAACACAACAAAAGCACCGCAACATTTCTGTAAAACCAGATAATTGTTTAAACTGATTACAAGAATTAACACAAACTCAATTTACGTTAAGTTAAAAAAGATCCTCGATGAAGCTTTTACAAGTAATTTAAGTGACACTAACTGAGTTACACAAACATTCCTGATAAAGTACCTTTTACTTGGTATTTTGTTTCCACAGAACAAATAAAAACTACAACAGTAAGTGATTATATAACTCTAGTACAATCTAACACATATTCCCTTTGTCTATCCTATCATTAGTAAAAAATAACACATTAGGCTTCAGTGTCACTTAAACATACTAAAGCTGCTTAATCCCAGAGAGCAGCCTGAGGCCTGTTTTCTATCTATGTGCTATATTTCACTAATGATAGGACAGACAAAAGGAATATGTGCGTAAAAATAAACCGTCTCAATCTGTAAGAACTGTAGTTTCCCGTTTGCTTTTACTCAGTTTGTACCAGTGTTAAATAATGTTAATGTTGTCATTTTTATTTCTCCTATGAAAACAAAATACTCAGTAAAAAGAACTTTATCAGGAACGTTTGCGTAACTCAGTGTCACTTAAAATGACTTGTAAAAGCTGCTTCTCAATCTCTAAAATCTTCTTTAACTTAATAAATAAATTGAGTTTGTGTAAGTTAAATATTTCAGTGTAATCAGTTAAAATCACATTAGCGTGTGTAACAGCGAGAGAGTTCACTGTGGCGACGGCTGCTGCAAATCAAACGCTGGCTAAGGTCAGACTGTTGAGGGACGTGACTATTTACTAAGTGGGACTGTCTATAATGTTTGAAGTTAAAAAGAACCCTCTGAAAACGTAGATCTGTTTCCTAATGCAGATTCAATAAGACATAAATAAGGTTTCAAATAAGAAATTGGTTTATTTACATCTAAACAAATCCCAAAATGACCTCAGAGGAACATACAGCACACTGTATCCTTGTGTATCTGTTGTCATTATCTGCAGCGAAGCGTTACAACATGTTAATTAATGATCTTTAAAAGGTTTTGGTTGGTGTATTGCCAGGCTACTTGTTTCCAGTCTTTAGGCTAAGCTAAGCTAACCATCCCCTGGCCTTACGGTGCCTTCCCAATAAAGGGGAATACAACTGTTCACACAAGCAGATTCCAGAGTAACGCGAATGGTGTAAACATGCAAAATTCGTCCCATACGCGGTTTTAAATTAATGAACTTTGAGCAAAGACTGTGTGCATTAGCAGGGTTTTTGCAGTGTTGTGTTGGGGAGGAATGGAGAGACAATGAAGGAGACTGTTCTGAGAAAAGTAAGAGAGGAAGTTGGACTACTTGGTAAGTGCTGAGAATATGTGTGTCAGAGCATTTGTTTAACAGTTTTTATGTTTTTTAGATGGCCTGGTTAAGCAAAGTGCATCCATACAAATGTATTATTAACAGCTCAGTTGTTTATGAGCGGGGAAGAGCCGGTATCGGATTGATATCGGCAGATACTCAAGGTTGCTGCATCGGTATCAGACATGAAAAAGAGGTATCGAGCCAAAGATAAAACATTTATGAAGAGCATTCAGGCCAAGGACTCTCACGTGTCCTGCAGGCCATCTCTCATCGTGAAAAGAAACGGAAACGTAAAAACAGATTGTACCCGTCACTGAAGCTGATTGGATGGTATATACGGTCCACCAGATCCCTTGAACATCACCTGCACTGACTTTATGTGCCTGATTTCCTGCCAAGGGACTGAAACAAAGAGTAATTTTGTGATATTAATGTGTTTCTGATAACTTCTATTGCAACTAATAGTAAAGAATTAAAGTTATTAATTAAAGCAGGAATAGAAAGAGAGACCGGTATGTATGTACATTGTTCCAGATTACTCTCTCAGAAAACATCCTGATACTCACATTGTGGATTCCTGCTGTCAGTTTCATACCGAAGTTTGGAGGCTGGACAGACACGAGCGCAACCAGACACTGGTTAATCAATTATTGATCAAATATTTTCATTATTTTAATAACCAAAGGCGAGATGTCACCGTTTCCGACCCTGGAGGTCAGGACCTCCACTAGGGGTCGCCAATGCTTCATGGGGGGGTCGCGAGGCCCTCTTGATTTTAAGGCGTGTAAGAAAACTTAAAAAATACACACAATACGCCTATAGCTCATCATCTGGTTCACTTCTGTGACATGTATTGTTAAGAAAATTGTGTAATCTAACAATGGCCAAGTGTCAGAGACAAAAACACAGAATTTGTAAAAAAAAAAAAAAAAAAAAAAAAAAGAAGCCTATTAAGTCTGTATGATTCTTAAAAATCATAGAATATCAGTCATCAATACAGACAGAGAATTGTATAAAAAGTTCCCTAAAAAGGAAATAATCTGCTCAAAATTCATCAAAATCTCTGATTTTACACAAACTTCCTGCAGTTACTGAGTTCACTGTTTGAGTTCATTGCAGTTTTTAATATAATATGAAATATCCATAAAATATGTTTGTTAAGGATAGAAAAGAGGTCCCTTAAGGAAAGGCTGTCTGTCTGACAGCTGATCTCTGGTTTGTGCAGTTAGAAGATGAACACAAACTCCTAGAAGTGGATCTTCAGAGAGGCTGTTCAGGCTCATTTCAACTGAAAACCTCGATTCTAACATTTTGATTTTTGTGACTTTTTATTTTAACCGTCTACCGTTGGAGTTCCTCCATTATTCACTGCGGCTGCTTGCGGAGCTTCCACGAAAATGGCGAATCAGAGCGTCAAAGAGAGACAGAAAGAAGAGGGAGTCAAAGAGAGAGAGAGCAGAGTTAGTTTCAAAGCAGTTTACGGGTGTGTGATTGAGAGCTGAAGCAGCTGCGCATGTCTGACTCACTGACTCATGGCAGGGTGTTTAGACTCTCTCACACACACACACACACACACACACACACACACACACACACACACACACACACACACGGTGAAGGGCTGACATACCAGAGGTGCCCCACCCCTTTACATTCCTCTTCATTATCCTCCTCTTCCCTTTTCCTTCTCCTCCACCTCTTCTCTTCTCCAGTCACTCTTTTACCTCTTTTCCATCTATCTGTTTTCCTCCTCCTTCCTCTTTACCTCACACCACCCTCCCCTCCCTCCCTCCCTCCCTCCCTCCACTGACTGTCAAAGTTCACAGGCCCAGAACCATCCTACACCCTATGAGCCATGTCTAGATATGAGCACACCCGAGGAAGAGAAAACAGATCATAAATGAGAGGTGGAGATAAAGCGCAGCGGCGGAGGAGTGCTGCATTCCAAAATGGAGCCACGGTCTTCATTCAAGGTCACCGTGACTTAACACGCCGCTTTAACTGTCTCGCAAAGAAATGTCTCAAAACTACCTTTTTCCAAAAGGTTTCTCCTGAGGTAAAAATAGCTAAAGGTCTCAGGAGTGAAGCAGAGAAGCTTTACAGTTTTGAAGGTCAGAACTATTACTGATATCTTTGAAGCTCACAATAGATAGACATTGAAATGTATTACTCTGTGTTTGCAACAAACAGTCGTGCTTCCACCCCAACCCCTAACGGCACACTGTACTTCGGGGAAATCTATTCAAAATGTGGCATTAGAATAACTTCAGGTTCAGTGGCCCCGACCGCGTGATTCAGTGTAATCAATCAAACTGCACGAGACATCTTATGTTTCCCATTTGCAGAGTTTCCTCCTCTTCTTCTCTGACCCCAGAAAATGCAACAAACAAATCAAACATCAGGACAATAAAACGTCTGTTTTCTGATCCGTGAAACGAACGTCGAGTCTTAAAATGAACACTTCCTGATACCAAACCAAGACCCAACCACAGGCTGAGCAACTTCCATTAAATGACATTTTGCTCTGAAATCACACAGCATGAGAGCGAAGAGGAACTACAACGCAACCAAACAGC